CCCCCAAATCATCCCCCTTTGGGCTGATCCCCCAAATGATCCCCCTGTATGGGGCCGGGGGCTCAGCCGAGCCCCTCCCCAACGCCTCCGCTCTCCCCCACAGGTCCCCACTGGACATACGAGGGTGAGTGGGGCCCCACCCAGGGAGCCCCCATTTATCCCCGCACCCCAAAACCGCCCCCCATCCCCCTGAGCTGAGGGGCTCACTCGGGTACCCCCAGAGGGTCGGGATGTGGGGTGGATGGGTGGCAGCCCCCCCTTGATCCCGGACACCTGGGACCCCCAAAATGGGTGGGTGGGTTTGGTGACACCCCCAGCTCCCCTGCTGGCACTCCTGGGACCCCCAAGATGGGTGGGGGGTGAGTGGGTGCAGCCCCCCATTGTCCCCTCCTGCCCCCCTCACCCCTCGCTCCAATGGTCCCTTTGTGCTCTTTTACATAAGGCACCTCCTGCCAAATCCAATTAGARCCCAGCCTTGGCCAAATCCCGCTAAGCCCCGTCCTAAGGGCGCAGGGGACCCATGGGTGCCCCCCCGGCCCCGCGGGCTCGGCTTTGTCCCCGCTCCCCCGGCCGGAAAAAATGTCCCCAGCAGATTAACGAGGCCTTTGGGAACGTCACCCATGGCCCAGCTCGGGGCGTTTTGGGTCACGGGGCCCTGCTGGGGTGAGTGGGGACGGTGTCCCCTGGATTTGGTGTCCCCCAGGTCCCCACGGGCAGCAGCACTGGCACGAGGGACACCCGGAGTGCGGGGGCCGCGCTCAGTCCCCCATCGACATCGTGACAGCGCGGGCACAGCCGGACCTGTCCCTGCCACCGCTGCAGCCCGAGGGCTACGAGCACCCGGAGAGCCCCCGGCTGAGCCTGGCCAACAACGGCCACACCGGTGAGCACCGGGGACAACGGGGACACCCGGTGTGCCATCCTGATGTCCCCTGTCCCATTCTTACTGTCCCCCAGTGTTCCAGCCCTCTGACCCCCAGTGTCCCATCCCTGCTGTCCCCCTGTGTCCCAGCTCTGTGATCCCCAGTGTGCCATCCCTGCTGTCCCCAGTGTGCCATCCCTCTGTCCCCTGTCCCATCCCTCTGTCCCCTATCCCACAGCCCTGCTGTCCCCCTGTCCCATCCTGTCCCATCCTGCTGTCCCCCAGTGCCCCAGCCCTGCTGACCCCCTGTCCCCCAGGCGTGCTGTCCCCAGTGTCCCATCTCTCTGTCCCCTGTCCCATCCCTTTGTCCCCTGTCCCATCCCTCTGTCCCCTGTCCCCCATCTCTCTGTCCCATCTCTCTGTCCCCTGTCCCCCAGCCGTGCTGTCCCTTTGTCCCCTGTCCCCCATCTCTCTGTCCCTTTGTCCCCCAGCTGTGCTGTCCCTGTGTCCCCTGTCCCATCTCTCTGTCCCCTGTCCCATCTCTCTGTCCCTTTGTCCCCCAGCCGTGCTGGCGCTGCCGCCGTCCCTGCGGCTCCGGGGTCTGTCCCACCCCTTCACTGCGGTTCAGCTCCATTTCCACTGGGGCCGGCCGGGCCGGGCTGCGGGCGCTGAGCACCTGCTGGACGGGCACCGCGCCCCCGCTGAGGTAC